AAACACTCAAACTCATTACTTAAGGTGCTGTGAATGAGCCGATCCCTGTTTGCCAAAGCTCATTAAAACAGTAATTATTGCACTGACACCACTGCACAACTCCCTGCAACATTGAGGGACCAAATTTTAACCGTTAAAAGTTATTGACACGACTCAAGCACACAACAGATGGCCGTGATGGTGCAGAGGCTTTCATTCAAGGGGATGACTCAGGGATTACGGAGTGAGGATGTTTACAGTGAAGATAATTCAATATTTGTCCCTGTAGTGGCTCTCCAACATCTTTTTTTTCCGGACTGATAAACATTCAAGTCCCACATCCCGCAGTTTTTAATCCATCTTTAACAATAACAGAGGATCTGAGCTGAATTTTTGAAGGCCAACACTGCAGAATCAGCAAATCACATTCATTCTTATGTCCCTTCCTTGGGGTCCTCACCCCAATGTTTGAGGCTAATTTAACAGAATAAAAGTATACAGTGAAAACGATCCAAAGCCTTTTCTCAAATTGCTTTTTCCCCATATTTTAACATCCCTGTAGTTAGAAGATAAAGTGTCTCCATTTAAGATTTGCAGAAACATCTAAAGATTCTGAAATGATGCTTTTCACAGTTTGACCCAGTCCAGCTGGTTTAGGTAATGATGTTGGTGACAGCTTACAAGGATACAATGCGGATATTTCTCACAATGTGTCAAAGCGTTTGGCACGACCCCCACTCCCTCCAGCCCCATCACCACTTCTCTGGGAACTGCGCACACCTAAGAAAACACCAGTACCTGCTGCTGCCTCTGAATTGCCGTTGGAGTTTGGATTAGGCACAGCTGAAGAAGACATCGGCTCGCCTGAGCTTGTAGCTAGCTGCGAAGATCAAAGGCTGTTTAGACTGAGAACAACTCGGACAATGAGAAAACCTGGCATCAGCTTAATTGAGCCGTGGGGTTAGATTAGTGCAGCACATGGCGTAATGATGCGGGGAGACGATATTGCGCGCAGGCTGGAGATGTGATCTGCGCACTCGGCTCGTCTCTGGGGAGCTCTCCGAGGTTGCTTTTTTGTTGTTCTCAAGGGTCAAAGACAGAGTTAAGTGAGGGGCAGGAGGTGATCTTTTTATGTTTCATCTGCCTCACGTCTGAAAACCTTATTTCTTCTAAAGTGCCTCACGCTTTGACTTTATGGTGCTTGCTTGGTGCTGCACCATCCCCCAGATAGAAAGGCAGTGCATCGCTTACATTCCTCCTCCCATTTAGCAAAATAAACGGTTTTATGGAAATCTATAAATAAATGTATTTTTATTTAATAAATCCAAACTATCCAGAGTTATAGGATTTACGGTATATACTTGTCAGAACAGTAAAAGTACTGAGTGGCCACTTTGAATACCATCAAAAGTTGTCGGGATTAGAAAGTGGTTTAGCCGGTTTTGTGTGTTTGTGTGTGTGTGTGTGTGGGGGGGGGGGTTATTCCTTTTTATGACAGTCCCACTGAGGGTGATTCATTAGTTTGTCTATGCATGGGCATGTCTGCTTTTCGTTTGGATTGTTAATAGTACAAATGTCAAAACTTTTTAAAAGGACAAAACAAACAAACTTACTTTCTCGTATTACAGTCACTTTGAAATAACAGCAAAATATTCTCTATATGTAAAAATATGTAAAATGTAAGTTGAGTAATTAAGTACGTGATTATGACGCAGGTAACAGTGTGAAAATTAAGTCAATCTTAAAATGCAAGTTTGTGTAAATTACAAGAATCCCATTGAGATTTATTGAACCTCTCGATGTGTTCACTTGACCCAGTGGTTCTCAGACTTTTTCTACCATGCCCCACTCCAGAGGCCAAACACAGCCCATGTCCCCTTTTCTGTCTTATTGACATTTAAGTTGAATTTTATTTAAAATAAAAAGATCAAATATATATTTATTCGAGTTAGGTTAACTTCATGGCACAGAAGGAGCAAGAGGAAGTCATGGAGAGGTGGGCAGGAAGTCAGAATATCTGATCAAAATATAAAAACAACAGCAGTTTGTGCTGTTTCATGTTTGTGAACATAAATATTCCCTTAAATAAAAAAGGTTCCTCTGCACGAATTTCCAACGTTATTTTAAGTCCCTGAACACATTTGAAAATGGGAGGTGTGGTGGACTCCAAAGACCTAAGCTTAAAACATTGAGATCACAGCTGTTCACATATTTGTATGATTTTTAAATATGTTTTTAAGTAGGAATGTGTTACTTGGTGTGTTTAGAAAAAGTAATGGTTTGGGTTAATGCAACTATTATATATAAATATAATAAATAAATAAATAAATAAATAAATAAATAAATAAATAAATAAATAAAGTTTAACTTTATCAGTAAAAAAAAATGCATGCTGACATGAAAATGGTATTGCTGGGTGGGAAGACCCCTCCCAATGCCCAACAGTGGGCACTTCCCTGTTAAAATATCATACTGATTAGATGTTTAAAATGTTATAATCTGAAAGAAAAACTCTATTGCTCCTAACTGGGTCCTTACCTCAGTTTGCTCTACATGGAAAGCTGTGGATGAAAGGAAAAAAGCAAACAAAAGCGATCAAATAAAATCAAAATCAAAAGAAAGAACAATGGATTTTATTTTTCAAAGCACAGTGTTTTTGGTTAAAGGCAATTTCCCACCCACATAAAATCCAAGTCCATTTTACATTCCCCACAAGAACGAATGAAAAAAAAAATGAGTGGCAACACCATTTGTGTTGGCAGCGAGCAGAAAGAGGTGCACCGCCAGCCCCGTCAGTACTGAATCCTTTGCTAGCAGGATATTCAAGGAAAGTCTGAGTAAATCAGCCTCCAGGCTTATCCCCCCTCCTATAACAGCTCGCCTTTCATCAGCTTTAACTTTCAAAACGCTGCCTTCACAGCCAAATGACAATTATATGGTGTCATCAGTAACACCGAAATCCCCGTAAAGTCATACAAGAGAAAGTCTGGACTTGGAGAGAGCAGGGCTATTTCTGTGAGCATGCACACAGTCAGATGGTGCAAACACAAAAATAAGACAATGAGGTTCAAAATGCAGTCAATACAACTCTACTAACAGCACAGAAAAGAAATGTGCTTGTATGCACCACCACCCCCAAAAACCCACACACTCATCTGAGTTCTTTTTTTAAATGTGATTACCGGCCTCCGTTGTAACAGATATTACATCCACTGCTACACATATGAGCTGCAAAGTAAGTATCACTGCTATCAGAATGAGTGAGTAGGAGCCCATTAAAATCACATTACTGTTAGCGCTATCGGATTTCTGTCTGGTTTCTACAGAAAAAAAAGGATATTTAGTATAAGATGTATGCATGCTGAATAATACCATATCATACAGAACCTTGCATTAGTGTATGTTTACCAGCTTTAATTTAGTTTGGTTCTGGAAGTGTTAACTTCATTTTGGGAATAAAAGTACACAGTACTGTGAAAGTAATATTGCACAAACTTTTACTTTGAACTTTGAAGTATTTTTTATTAATCCACACTCAAGTAGCTAAAGAAAAACCAAGAGTGTTATGCTTTATTCAGAACGTGCACCTATGCATGCTGAAGTAAAAAAGATTTCCGGTATCTTTATATTAAATGTGGTAGAGGTGTTGTGTAGATAGGGAAACACACACTGCCCCAAAGCTAGAAAGACTAACGCACGAACCAACAGATCTTGTAAGAGCGCTGCAGGTTTTCTTTTGTTGGAAATTGTCGAGCCACTATATTAAAAACAAACTCAATTCAATTACCTGTTCTAGACTAGTTAATAAATAAAAGGACATGTGTACATGATGTGCCTTAATGAGAGGAAACACTGGCATAAAATATAGAATGAAAAAAGCCTCACAGCTGTGGGAAGAAAGGTCCCTCTAATTAGCTTTGTAGAGCGTATTGGCATCCTGAACCAGTCACTCAACACACTTCAGACTACTTAAAATACATAGAACACCAAACAGACGAAGGCCTCCAAATGTCTGAACTTTCTTCCTGGTTGTTTTTAATGAATTATTGAAGATACTGAAAAGGAGTCAATATACATAGCAAAAAGTGTGTTCAAGTTAGAGGAGGAACACCTCAAATTTGATTCCAAGCACACTACTTGAGTAAAATTGTTTTTCTTTGCACCACTGCTAAATCAAAGCTTTGAGATATGCATTGTTCTCCCTTGGCTTAATATTTCATTGAGGTCTTTAACTCCTTATGAACTTGGCATGTGTGCGCGAGAGACACTTTGTGTGTTCATATCTGTGTGTGCGGCTGCAGGCCTGAGAGATGAGGCAGAGTCTCAAAGGTCAACCACGGCTCTGTGTCATCTGCTAAGATCTGAAG